GGAGTAGTTGGTAAAGTCCAAGGCAGAAGCAGGGGTCATTAAGGGGGATACCAATTGAGACTAGGACAAAAAGTCCCCATTATGATAGAAGCAAAGAAGGGTGATACCAACTGAGACTAAAACCATCAACATTAAGCATAGTTGGTATATTCCAAGGCAGAATTGGGGGAAAGAAGGGTACTGCTGAGACTAGGACACCTAGTCACCCATTAAGAGTTGTTGGTACAGTCCAAGGCAGAAGGGAGGGTGAGGAAGAAAAATGATACTGAGGCTAGCAGAGCTAATCACCCATTAGGAGTAGTTGGTAAAGTCCAAGGTAGAAGCAGGGAGCATGAAGGTATACCAATTGAGACTAGGACAAACAATCACCCATTATGATAGAAGTTAAGAAGTGTGATACGAACTGAGACTAAACCAATCAACCATTAGGAGTAGTTGGTATTTCCAAGGCAGAATTGGGGCAATAAAGGGTAATACTGATACTAGGACAACCAGTCACCCGTTAAGAGTAGTTGGTACAGCCCAAAGCAGAAAGGAGGGAGCGGAAGAAGGGTGATACTAATGGAGACTTGGACTGCCAATCACCCATTAGGAGAAGTTGGTAAAGTCCAAGGCAGAAGCAGGGGGCATGAAGGGAGATACCAACTGAGACTAGGACCATTACCCATTAGGATAGAAGTGAAGAAGGATGATACCAACTGAGGCTAAACCAATCAACCATTAGGATTAGTTGGTACAGTCCAAGGCAGAATGAAGAGGGTGGAAGAAGGGTTATACCAACTGAGACTAGGACAGCCAATCACCCATTAGGAGTAGTTGGTAAAGTCCAAGGCAGAAGCAGGGCGCATGAAGGAAGATACTAATGGATACTAGGACAAACAATCACCTATTATGATAGAAGTGAAGAAGGATGATGCCAACTGAGACTACACCAATCAGCCATTAAAAGTAGTTGGTATATTGCAAGGCAGAAGTGGGGGAAAGAAGGGTAATACTGAGACTAGGACAACCAGTGACCTGTTAAGAGTGGTTGGTACAGTCCAAGGCAGAAAGAAGGGGGCGGAAGAAGGGTGATACTAACCGAGACTAGGACTGCCAATCACCCATTGGGAGTAGTTGGTAGAGTCAAAGGCAGAAGATGGATGGGAGAAGGGTGATACCAACTGAGACTAGGAGAAACAATCACCCATTAGGGGTAGCAGGTAAAGTCCAAGGCAGAAGCTGGGGGGAAGAAGAGTGATACCAACTGAGACTAAACCAATCAACTGTTAGATATAGTTGGTAGATTCCAAGGCAGAATTTGGGGGAAATGAAGGGTGATACTGATACTAGGACAATTAATCACTCATTAGGTGTAGTTGGTACAGTCCAAGGCAGAAAAGGTGGGGGGCTGGTGTAAGAAGGGTGATACCAACTGGCACTAGTACAACCAATCATCCATTAGGAGTAGTTGGTAGAGTCCACAGCAGGGGGTGGGGGAAGAAAGGTGATACAATCAGGGACTACTAGGACAACCAATCCCTCAGGCTGGGTTTGTACTGCTGAACTCAGGCGATCTTCCAAAAGTGCTGGGATTATAGGTGTAAGCCACTGCATCCAGTCTAGTTTAGTATTTAAATGTTCTCTAGATAGTTTCATATATTTTTCTGCCCTGGCAGTCCGTTTTTAAGGTCATTGAGGGCAGAGTCTCCTTATCTTACATGTGTTTTCTTCACAATATTTAATATAATGCTAGGTGCATAACAGGGTACCCATAAATATTTGGATATTGCTAGCAGTTTGCTAAGGAATAATATCAGCATCATTATCATGTTTGATAACAGCAGCTTATGGTTTTTGAACACTTAGTTTGTGCCAAGAAGTGTTAATCATTGTTACATATCATCATATGAAGTAGATCCTATCCATCTCCATTTCATACATGGGGAAATGGAGGCTTGGAGAGCTTAAGTAATTTGTCTAAATTATACAGCCAATGAGTGGTAAAGCAGAATTCTAATGAAAGTCTGTCCTGTCAGAATCTTAAGTAGATAATGGTTGGGCAATCCCTTTTTTTTCCTTCAATTTTTGGCCGGGGCCAGGTTTGAACCCGCCACCTCTGGTATATGGGGCCAGCGCCCTACTCCTTTGAGCCACAGCGCCCCACTTTTTTTTTTTTTAGACAGGGTTTCACTATGTCATCCCAGCTATAGAATGTGGTGATATCATCAAAGCTCACTGCAGCCTTAAACTCCTGGGCTCAAGTGGTCCTCCTGCCTCAGACTCCTAAGTTGCTAGGACTACAGGCACCTCCATGCCCAGTTAACTTTTTCTATTTTGTGTCTTGCTAGTCTTAAGCGCTTGACCTCAAGCAATCTTCTCATATTGGCCTCCAAGCAAGCTAGGATTACACTCATGATCCACTGCACTCGGCCCCTTTAAACAAAGAGTTTTCTACTTAATTATCTAAAATATAACCATGAAAAGCAAAAATGATGTAATGACACTGGAATCAATTGTACTGTTGAAATGGAGTTGAAATATTGAAAAGTGATCATACTTTGTGCTGTGTCTTCTCTTGTCATCTTTCAGACTCTAGCTGTAATTCCAATATCCCTGGTCCATTTGTATGAATCTGAAATGAACTATGCTGATGTCTGTCATTTTTTTCTTACAGTTACTGACTATACGACTGGCAGAGTTGGAGCCCCTCTTATTTGCTGTGAAATTAAGCTAAAAGACTGGCAAGAAGGTAAGAATTTTATGACGAACTCTAGTGATTAGAGATACCCTGAAAACAAGTGTGGGCCTCAAGACTTTAAAGCATTAGATTGTCTGTGGTAGCAAATGATTGTCACTGTCGCCTGTTCCTTGTGCTTGTTTTTTCCTTAGTGATATCTTTAGGCTCTCAAGAGGAAGTGAAACATCATTAGAATCTAGGGCCAATGATTCTGAACTTGAGATTACTTGAAGGTAAAAAAGGAAAAGAAATTTTAGTGGGGCTTTCCCTGGGTTTGGAGAAGGCAGGGAGGATCCTTTGAAGCTTGACTTTACTAGGGGGGATGTTTTGGTGGAGAAAGAATCCCCATATTTTCAGGGAATAGAGTATCTACACACATACACACATACACAGCAAAGATTTTCATAGTTGAGACTCAACTGTCCAGCTATTTTGTATAGTTGAATTTTTATATGTACCCCTGGAAGCAAGCCTCCTATAGGAAACCTGTAGTTTACAGACATTGGTGATAATCCACTTTACAAATCAACTGAAAGCAAAAGTAAACCAGTCGTCGTATGATGCACTTAATGAAAGATACTAAACATATATGTTAACTTGCCATGAAGTGGACTGTTAAATAAACTAATAATTAAAAGCCTAGCCTAGGAAGAATAATTAAAAAGCTTAAGATTTTAACAGAACATATTTACCTTAGGATCGAGTCACAGACTAAAAATTTAAAGACAAGTTACCGTGTAGGATACATTCCTTAGATTGTCCAAACTCCCAAGAAAATAAATGAGCTTTATCTAGCATAAACTAAACTAGTTTCTAAATGTAGCATAAACTAAGCCAGTTTCTAAAGATGTTTCTTTTTTTACTTTTTTTGCCGTTTTTGGCTGGGGCTGGGTTTGAACCCGCCACCTCCAGCATATGGGGCCGGTGCCCTACCCTTTTGAGCCACAGGTGCCGCCCCTAAAGATATTTCTTTTTTGTGACTGTCTTACGCTTATTACATACGGGTGTTTTTTTTTTTTTGAGACAGAGTCTCACTCTGTCACCCTGGGTAGAATGCAATGACCTTACAGCAACCTCAAACTCCAGGATTCAAGCAATCCCCCTGCCTCAGCCTCTCAGATAGCTGGGACTTTAGGTGTGCACAACAATGCCCGGCTAGGTTTTCTTTTTTTAGTAGAGATGGGATCTCACTTTTGCCCAGGCTGGTCTCAAACTTCTGAGCTCAGACAGTCCACCTGCCTTAGCCTTTCAGAGTGCTAAGATTACAGGCATAAGCCACTGTACCCAGCTTATGTGCATTATTGACAGGGCCCTATGAGCAAAGGATTCTTTTTTTTTTTTTTTTTTTGAGACAAAGCCTCAAGCTATCGCCCTTGGTAGAGTGCCTTGGCTTTATAGCTCACAGCAACCTCAAACTCCTGGGCTTAAGTGATTCTCTTAACTGGGATTACAGG